AATAACCTACAAGAAATGGACAACTTTAGAAAAATACAACCTTCCAAGACCAACCCAGGAAGAAACAGAAAATTTGAACAGACTAATTACCAGCAATGAAATTGAATCGGTAATCAAAAAATTACCCAAGAACAAAACCTCCAGACCTGAAGGATTCACCACTGAATTTTACCAGAGATTTAGAGAAGACATAATACCCATTCTCCTTAAAGTTTTCCAAAAAAATAGAAGAGGAGGGAATACCTCCAAACTCATTCTATGATAAGGCCAGAATCACTATAATACCAAAACCAGAAAGACATCACACAAAAACAAATTAGAGACCAATAACCCTGATGAACAAAGATGCAAAAATCCTCAACAAACTGTTGGCAAAACAAATTAAAAAATACATCAAAAAGATAATACATCATGACCAAGTGGGATTTATTCCACGGATGCCCAGGGGTCCGGCCTCCTACAGTATGGGAGAATATATTCATAAATGACAGATATGATAAAGGGTTGACATTCAAAATATATAAAGAACTCATGCACCTCAATGAACAAAAAGCAAATAACCTGATTAAAAAATGTGCAAAGGATCTGAACAGACACTTCTCCAAAGAAGAAATTCAGATGGCCAACAGGCACATGAAGGTGCTCCACATGGCTAATCATGAGAGAAATGCAAATAAAACCCACAATGAGATATCACCTCACACCAGTTAGGATGGCCAACATCCAAAAGACAAACAACGACAAATACTGGTGAGGATGTGGAGAAAGGGGAACCCTCCTACACTGCTGGCAGGAATGTGAACTAGTTCAACCATTGTGGAAAACAGTATGGAGGTTCCTCAAAAAACTAAAAATAGAAATACCACTGACCCAGGAATTCCACTCCTAGGAATTTACCCTAAGAATGCAGCAGCCCAGTTTGAAAAAGATGTATGCACCCCTATGTTTATCGCAGCACTACTTCCAGCAGCCAAGAAATGGAAGCAACCTAAGTGTCCATAAGTAGATGAATGGATAAAGAAGATGTGGTGCATATACACAATGGAATATTATAAAGCCATAAGAAAACAAATCCTACCATTTGCAACAACATGGATGGAGCTAGAGGGTATTATGCTCAGTGAAATAAGCCAGGCAGAGAAAGACAAGTACCAAATGATTTTACTCATCTATGGAGTATAACAACAAAGCAAAACCTGAAGGAACAAAACAGCAGCAGAACCCAAGAATGAACTAAGAGTTAAGGGTAAGAGGCTGCAGAGGGTGGGTTGGAAGGGAGGGATAAGGGGATTAAGGGGCATTATGATTATCACACATAATATGGGGGGGGCACAGGGAAGGAACTATAGCTCTGAGAAGACAAGTAGTGACTCTATAGCATCTTACTATGGTGATGGACAGTGACTATAATGGGGTATGTGTTGGGAACATGATAATAGGGGGAATGTAATAACCACAATGTTGCTCATGTGAAACCTGAGCATAAGATTGTATATCAATGATACTTTAATAAAAAACTGGCAACAATCTATGTCCTTTAATGGGGAGTGGATAAGCAAAATATTGGCATGCATCACATGGATGAATCTCATAGGCATTATGCTGAATGACAAAGCCACTCTCAAAGCATTACACATTGTATGATTGTATAACCATTCTAGAAAATGTGTAAGTGTAAGTACAGAAAACAATATGGCCATGGGTTAGGGATAGAGACTAGGAGTAACTAACTAAAAGGGGGCACCACCAGGGGATTCTGGAGTGATGTAACCTTATTTTGGAGTGAGAAATATCTTCATGTTGATGATACTTATGAGTCTATACAAATCTTTTAACTCATAGAACCATACACTCTAAAGAAAATCTACAAATACAAACATACATATACACATATTTTTATTATGGTAGTTGTTGCAAAAGTGTGTACATTTTTCAAAATTCACAGAATACTTAAAATGGATTAATTTAATTGTATGTAAAATGATCCTCAATAATTTATTTTTAAAAGGTCAAAATATTTTAACAGATACTTCACAAAAAGATATACAATGGCCAATAAGTCTATGAAAATGTCCTAACAACATCAGTCATCAAGAAAATGCATATTAAAACCAAGCCCAAAAGTCCAACAGAAGAATCAGATGAACAAATTGTGTTAAGTTCACATAACGGGAATACTACTTAGCAATAAAAAGTAACAAACTACTAATAGATGCAAAACATGGATGGGCTTCAATAACAATTTATTGTGCAAAAGAAGCCAAACACAAAAGAATATATACTGCACAAACAGGCAAAACTGTCTTACTGAAATAGAAATCAGAAAATTGGTTGCTAGGAGTGGGGCTGGGGTGCAGAATGCAGTCAAAGAGAAGACACAAGGGAAAGGGGCACAAGGGAACTTTCAAGGCTCATATTGGTTACATATGTTATATTAGTCAATTATACATCTATGACCTGAGCAGTCTATTTTGTATAATTATATCTCAAAAATCACAAATACACAAAATACAAATACATACACACATATGTTAAAATTCTGTTAATGACTATGGAAGGGACATTTATCCCTTTCTCTATCATTTAAATCAATTTAAATGAAAGGACATGGAGGAGAAATAACAAAGGAAGATACTAGCACAGCCTCAAACTCTACAAACTATGAAACACACTTAGTATACTAATACTATGAGGTCCACAGCAACAAGGAAGCACAGAATGCTAAAGCATGTGCCACTTCAAATCTCAAACAGGATGTAGATTTCCCAAAATTCAAGTACCACTATCCTAAGGAAAACACCCAATTACAGTGGGAAACTAGTCACAGGAAAAGAAAATATGTTTCAGAAGAGGCTTTGTTTTCACTCAATGAGCTAGAGAAATTAAAGCTGAAAATAAGCTGTTGGCTTCTCAGGAAAAAGAGACTGCTGAAATGAAGAGGGGTTAAAGAAAAAGAGAAGACAGTAAATTATAACATAAAGACTTAATACCTAAATAGCAGTCTGGTGATCCACATCTGCCACTTGAAGGCCAAAAACTAAAGGAAGAGATGCATGACCCAAGGGTCAAAGGAAAAACACATTTAGTATAATACTGCTTAAGGAAACAAACCCAACAAAAAGCACCTGCCTACTTCCAAGAGACTGTGTGTGTACAACTTAGAGTTATATACATAATATATACAATCTTTACTCTACAATAAATACAATATTCTAAAACATAAAATATATAAATGCAAAGAGATAAACTTTTCTTAAAATAATGTATTTTTTCTTCCTATTAAATTGTTAACAATTTTACTATCTGGTAATAACCAGTGCTAATAAGTTTGTAGAAAAATGGGAGCTTTCTCTGGAGGCCATATAAATTGATGCAAATTTGCTGAAACAATTTTGCATTATTTATTAAATTATAATTAACAAATTCCCTGAGACCCAGTAATCCCACTCAAAAATAGCTCTCTGTGTATGAAAAACAGTGTTCACTACAGCACTGTTGCTATTAACAAAGCTCTGGAAACAACCAAACTAATATCAGTGCATTAAGTAAATAAATTATAGTATACAGTATATCTTTGGAGTACAAAGCCAATAGAAAATAAATAATGAAAGTAGCTCTAAATGTGTTAAAATACAAAAAAATTTTAAATATATTACTAACTGAAAACAGCAAAGCACAGAACAATATATATTTCATGATCCCTTTTCCACAATTATCAAAAAATAATATGAATTCATATGTAGGTATATGCATCTTTTTTCTGGAATAGAATGAAAAAAAACTACTACTACTACTGGTTGCCTTTAACAGAAAGGGACAGAGAAGGATTCTTCATTCACTTTTCATATAACCCAAATTTTTTAACTTTACGCAATTGTTTGTTCTTTTTATGTCAACAGAAGCCCGCAATTGTTTGTTCTTTTTATGTCAACAGAAGCCCCTGAGTCCCATTTATTTCCTTTTTTGTACTTGGCAACTAACATTAATAACATCTTTTTTCAGAGAATAAGTTGTAATAAATGATTACTTTTTCTTGTCTGTAACATAAAAATACATATATTGAAGGTGACTTAAATTTGTTACCCTAAAATGCTATTTTTTTTTATTCTGTCCCTCCCAAAATGAGTATGTTGAAGTCCTTATTTAAGTATGATACGGAGACAGAAACCTTACAGAGGTAGTTAAGTTTAAATGAGGTCATAAGGGTGGAGACCTAGTCCAGCAGGACTAGTGTCCTTAAAAGAAACATGAAGGATGTAGGTGTGCAGAAAAAAGGCCATATGAGGACAGAAGAAGATTGCTATGAGTAACCCAAGAAGAGAGGCCTCACAGAAACCAGTCCTGCTGGCACCTTGATCTTGGAGTTCCAGACTCCAGAACTATGAGAAAATAAATTCCTCTTGTTTAAGCCATCCAATCTGTGGTATTTTGCTATGTTAGTCCTACCAAACTAATAGAGCCTCAGATGGCTTAACTAGAAAAATCTGAGAAAAATTCTATTTTTAAAAAATTGACCATGAACTGTGCCAGGCAAGGAAAAAACAGTAATACTTAAAAGTGTTATTATAAGCCTTATTAATGAGAGCTCTATAGTAAATCTTGATAGTGATAAAATTAAAATCCAGACTTACAATCAGAATGTCTTTTGAAATAATTGTCACCCTTTAAGATATACCCTCTCAAATTTACAAAAATAAGCAAGAGAAAATGATTTGAAAAAGCTTAATATTCTCATAGATTTAAAAAATATTTCACAATAATGAGATTTAAATCTCATGAAGACAACCATGTATTTTATACTTAGATTTAAACTGAAGAAGACCCTAACCTCAAAGCATTACTTCAACATATATCAGAAAAAAACTAATTTAAAACCTGCAATTAAGTAACATAAAAACACCCAAAAAAGGACATATAAGAAAATAAAAATTCAATTTTATTAAAATATTTTTAACACACCAAATAATACTACATACTTAAAAAAACTAATTTTTACTAACCCCCTGCAAAGGGAGATCCCAGCGTCCTGAGCTTCTGAGTTTGGGCAGCGGTGACTGAACACGAACTTCCTCTGGTTTTGCATTTAACATCTTTGTTATCTGAAACCAGAATGAGAAAATAATCAGTTTAACTGAAATATAAATAAGAGCTGAAGCAGCAAACAGAACCATTATATCACCCTGCATTAATTTTTTGCTGTTAGTTTTAAAGAGTATTAAGTTCAGTACTTAACTTATAGGCAGTTAAATATAATTTTATTTTAAAAACTCTCATTCATTTCATTCATTTGTGGAATATAACCACAAACCAAAACTGAAGGAACAAAATAGCAGCAGACTCTCAGACTCCAAGAAGGGACTAGTGGTTACCAAAGGGCAGGGGTTGGTGATGGTGGGTAGGGAGGGAGGGAGAAAAGGATTAAGGGGAACTATAATTCACAATCACAATATAGGTAGGTCATGGGGAAGGCAGTACAGCATGGAGAAGACAAGTAATGACTCTATAGCATCTTACTACACTGATGGACAGTAAATGAAATAGGGTGGGGGGGGGACTTGACAATATGGGTGAATGCTGAAACCACAATGTTGCTCATGTGAAATCTTTGTAAGATTGTATATCAATGATGCCTTAATTTAAAAAAAAACCTGTCATTCAGTTTGAAGGCACATGATGAAGCATCACAACAGTTACCTAACTATCCTCTTACCTGCAGTCTCTTCCCCTCCTAATCTTTCAAACACTATCCCACAGTTCTCTAATACACAAATCTAATTATGACTACAATACTTAAAATACAAGGGCACCCATGACTTACAGATAAAACTCAATGATCTGGGCTCTTTCACATCACCCACATATTACAAACTCTACATCCCAAGAACATTGTGTTCACTCAATCTTTTTCAAACATGTCATATTATTTTTTATCTCTAGACCATTGTATGTACTACTTCTCAATCTAAAATACCCTTGCCTCTACTTCTCCCTTGCAAAATACTTGAGATTCTGCTCAAAATTATTCTCTTATCTCCTGTCCACACACTGTCACTCCCACACCAAGGCATTCCATTCCTTTGTCTGAGCATTAGTACCTGGTACCTTCATATGACATTATTTATACCATATATATCACACAACATTACAATTATTGTCTACAAGTCTGTTTTCTTCTCCAGACTATGAAGGTGCTTAAAGAGAGTGTCCTGACTTAGTCACCTTTTTATCTCCAAAGTATATGGCCCATGATATGCTGAATAAGCAAATCAATGAATATATGAATTGCAGCCAAAAGTTTGAAATCATTTGTTTAGAATTTAAATATTGTAATTTTTACAGTAACAGAAAGCTATAAATGATAGTTAAACATCAAGTTAAGTACTGTATCAACTAACCTATAACCCATAAAATGATTTAAGTGACACTAACACATAAATCAGGAGGACAGAATAAATTTGAAGAATACCCCAACTCTTATTTCACTAGCACCTCTGAGTTAATCCTCCTGAGAATCAGTAACTTTTTATTTATACCTCATCTATATAAAAAGGTTCTGTCTTATAATTCATCTACAAAAGACAATGTTACATCTAAATCGATCATTTCCTTCATATTCTTAATTTGGGAACAATAGTTGGTTGCTTCTTAGGAGGTAAAGCCAAGGCTTCAGGCTGTTCACATGCATGGATCCATTTTGAGTAAGTTATTTAGCCTGTACTGGATACTGTGGCATAAGGTATTTTACAAAGATGACATACCAATATCCCACATCCCACACATTCTTCTTACAGTGTGATACTGACAATCCTCACACATTAGGTGCAGTATATCTTCCTTTACGTTGAATCTGGGCAAGCCATGTGACTTCCAAGGTTAGTTCATTAAAGGCAATATAGCTATTGCTTCAGCCTGGCTGACACATGCTAGTGTGTTTTCCCTTCCTACCTCCCTCTCTCTCTCTCTCTCTCTCTATCCCTTGGTACACACTCCTTGGGAGCCTTAGCCAATAGGTAAAAATCTTAGATACCCTAGGGTCACTCTGCTAGAATGATCAAATGGGAAGGTTAATAAAAACACACAGAGAGGATTAAAGATTGTGGAGTGAGAAGTGAGACAGAGGTTTCTTCGTAACACCGCATATACTACAAAAATATAATTAATACAACTAATCCTGAAAGAGGAACAGGAAAGAGGGCTGCACCAGACTGCATACACCTGGAGAAAAGAGCAGACCTTACAGAACAGAGTAACCTATGAAAGCTGTGACCCAGCGGGACCCAAGCCCTTCCCCCACCCCAGCTAACCAGTGGAAGAGAAATGGAGCAGGGAGGGAGTGCAGGCCTGGGACTGCTGCTCTGGGAGCACAAACCTACATTTCATGGTGCTTGCATGGTACTCTTGTGATTAGGGGGTTGAAAAGCTAAGACAGGAAGAATTCTTGGAGAGACTGAGATTCCAGCTGCTTGTGGAAAGCAAGGATCCATATCCAGCTATTCTGGGACAAAAGAAAGGTGGGAAGTCTGAGAGACTGCCTAACAAGGAAGCCCTTAGCAAGAGAGCTGCTACAGGGGCAAGGATTGCACAGAGCTTAGTGCTCAGGAGAAAGGAGAGGTAGACAAAATTGTTCAGGTGCACTCTGCCCAGTAGGTTGGGAGCGTTCATGACCTTCAGGAGATCCATGTCCCTGGCTGGCTACAGAGCTCCAAGGATCCCCCACTGTGATATGCAACCTACTGCACCGTTCTCCTGCCAACCCCACCTGGCTCGCAAATGGGCAAAACCTACCCTGGAATTAGGGAAGCCAGAGGGAAGATCTGTCTAAAGAAACTACAAACACAAAGCATAAAGACTTTTACCTGTGTGCTCGGCCCACTGGCTCAGTTAGCGGAGACAGGCATGACAGCCAGAAAGCAGGCAACAGCTCTTTCCTCCCCCCATGCACCAATACCACTCCCTGCGATGCCCTACATTACTTCACGGAGGATATTAAAAGCAGATTAGATGTACTGGAGGAGATGATAAATGAAAGAGAAACTAGAGAAGAGGAATACAAAGAAGCTGAGGCACAGAGAGAAAAAAGGATCTGAGCAGCTCCAGAGAATAGAGCTTCTAGACACTAGAGGGCACCATATACAAATATGAAACACCAAGGGAACCTGATTCAAAGTAAAATTATTAATACAATACCTAAGAAAGAATTAAATGACATTGACCTCATGAATATTCCTGAAAGAGAGTTTAAAATAAAAATCATTAAGATGCTCATGGAGGTACGGAGACATATTCAAGAACTCAGGAGTGAATTGCGGTTGGAGATCCAATTGTCAAAGAGTAAAATGGAGGATATTAAAAGCAGATTAGATATACTGGAGGAGATGATAAATGAAAGAGAAACTAGAGAAGAGGAATACAAAGAAGCTGAGGCACAGAGAGAAAAAAGGATCTCTTAAGAATGAAAGAATATTGAGAGAACTGTGTGACCAATCCAAACAGAACAATATTCACATTATAGGGGTACCAGAAGAAGAAGAGAGAGAAAAAGGGATAGAAAGTGTCTTTGAGGAGGTAGTTGCCGAAAACTTCCCCAATCTGGGAAAGGAGATAGTCTCTAAGGCCATGGAGATGCACAGATCTCCCAACACAAGGGACCCAAAGATGACAACATGAAGGCATATCATAATTAAAAAGGCAAAGATCAAGGAAAAGGACAGACTATTAAAAGCACCAGAGAGAGAAATAAGATCACATACAGAGGAAAGCCCATGAAGCTATCATCAGATTTCTCAGCAGAAACCTTACAGGCCACAAGGGAGTTGCATGATGTATTTAACACAAAGAAGCAGAAGGGCCTGGAACCAAGATTACTTTCTCCAGCAACATTATCATTTAAATTTGAAAGAGGGATTAAACAATTTCCAGATAAGCAAAAGCTGAGAGAATTTAACTCCCACAAACCATCTCTACAGTCTATTTTGGAGGGACTTTTATAGATGTAGGTGTTCCTAAGGTTTAATACTTGTCACCAGAGGTAATAAAACCACAGTAAAAAAAATACAACTGTTAATTACCAAGCAAATGCAAAATTAAATTAACTATCCCCAAAGTTAATCAAAGGACAAAAAGTACAGAATATGATACCTAATATATAAAGAATGGAGGAGGAAGAAAAAGGAGGAGAAAAAAAGAACTTTAAATTGTGTTTTAGTAGCATATTAAGTGAGTTAAGTTAGACTCTTAGATAGTAAGGAAGTTAACCTTGAAACTTTGGTAACCATAAATCTAAAGCCTGCAATGGCAAAAAGTACATAGCTATTGATAATAACTCTAAATGTAAGTGGACTGAATGCACCAATCAAAACACATAGAGTCACTGAATGGATAAAAAAACAAGACCTATCCATATGCTGCCAAATGAGAATCACTTTAAATCATAAGACATACACAGATTAAAAGTGAAGGGATGGAAAAAGATATTTTATGCAACTAATAGGAAGAAAAAAGCAGGAGTTGTAGTACTTGTAGAAGACAAAATAAACTTCAAAACAAAGAAAGTCACAAGAGACAAAGGAGGGCATTGCATAATGATAAAGCGGTCAATCCAACAAGAAGATAAAAACATTATAAATATCTATGCACCCAACAAAGGAGCACCTACACATGTGAAACAAATATTAACAGAATTAAAAGGGGAAAAAGAATGCAATGCATTCACTCTAGGAGATTTCAATACTTCACTCTGAAGGACAGATCAACCAGACAGAAAATAATTAAGGACACAGAGGCACTGAACAACACATTAGAACAGATGGACCTAACAGACATCTACAGAACTCTACACTCAAAAGCAGAAGAATACACATTCTCCTCAAGTGTACACAGAACATTTTCAAGAATAGATCATATACAGGCCACAAAAAGAGCCTTGGTAAATTCAAGAAGAATGAAATTGTACCAACCAGTTTCTCAGACAACAAAGGTATGAAACTAGAAATAAATTGTGCAAGGAAAATGAAAAATCCCACAACCACATGGAGGTTTCAAAACATGCTCCTACATAACAAATGGATCAATGACCAAATTAAAACAAAGATCAAGCAAT